TTCACACCAATTCATGTCTTCATACATTGCTTCTCTGGGGTTTTCTCATAGGACTGGCATCTAGCTGTGTAGTCATTCTGCAGCCGACATTAATACATGAATGCATTTGTCAGTTGTACAGCTACATGTTGTATCAAGTTATACAAGTTTTGTTCATGATCTCTAGGAGCTCTGAAAGTCTGTTACTTCCTCTCCTATCCTTTCAAATTTTCAGCTCAGATTATACAAAATTTAGGCAAGAGTAAACCACCAATGCTTTGCAAAATGTCTGTTATCACAAAACACTGCTTGCAGCACTCATCATTTGCTAAAAATGCCTGAAATGCTCCAATCTCTTCCTGCATTTGGCAAATAACACTTTTCTTTTTAACTTTGGACTAAAAATCACTGATTGTTGCTCAATGCTTTGTATTTGAATCTTTGTGTGTGTATGCTTTGTATTTTTGGTTCACAATTTTTCCCTCAATGACTCATAGCTTATCTTTATTCTTCACTCTCATCTTCAGTTCCCTTCTTCCAAAATGTATAAAGGTAGACAATAGAGAGGGGAATAAAAAGACATTTTGGGATAAATATTTAGAATTTTTTTCACTTAGGTATGACCTAGAAATACTAAAAATAGTTACATGACAGAAAAAAAAATTTGAAATCTAAAAACCATTTTCAATTTTTCTAAACCAAAATATATACAAGAAATATTGACATACAAACTAAAATATGCAATGCACCCCCCTTAAATGCAACCAAGGCTATCAGTAAGATATTCATAAGGGACAGAAAAAAAAGACACAAAATAAAAAATAAGTAATAAAAATCTTCTGGTATTTGAACTTATCCTCTTCTTCAAAAAACTGGTTGTTTTGAGAAGTATGTTATTCAAATCAATGACCATTCACATCAGACAGTTATTAAAATTATTGAAAATATACAATGTTCTCAAGACAATAAGCTGACTGTATTTGTTCTTCAGTTTCAAAAATTTTTACAAAGAGTCTTTAATTTCTTAAATTTTCATTTTTGACTATAACACTCTAATGGAATTGGGGTATGATTTGAAATGTATTAGAAGTAATAGAACTATAATTTAAAAACATAAATGAATCTTTAGAGAGGCTTCCTTATTATGAATGTTTAAAATGTTATTAGATTTCAGGGTAAGAAGTTCTATGATAAAAACATTTAAAAGTGAAGTCTTAACTTCAGTGACAGTTCCTCAAGATCTAATATCAGTGGCCACTTAACTCGAACTATGTCATTTAAAATACCAATTTACACTACTGCTTATGGAAAAATGGAGATTTACTTCATATATCTATTCTTCTTGATAAGTACAACTAACCCCCCTAGACATCATGTATAAAACAAATATCAGAAGCTTCTGAAAGTTGGAGAGAAGAAAGCAAACTTCCTAGGGACCTCAGGACATAAGAAATAACATGGATTTTCCTTTTTTCCTACATATCCTAGAGAATATTCTGGAAATGCCAGTAAAGGCTGATAATAAAAGTCCCATGGAAAGCCTGCTTTCTCTAGCCAAAAGATGAGGAAAATGATAGCCTAGTAAAATAAAATTTTTAGGCAATAACTCCTTAAGTCAAATACCACAGGAAGAAAACAAAAGCAAAAAAAAACCTCTTTACACTGGTAAAGACTCAGTGGAAAGTGTAAACAACTATCACTGCTAGCTATAATAAGGTTCCCAAATCCTGATACTAGGATGGAACTGGAGTGCTACCTGTGGAATCATGAATTTCAAGCCCCTCTGGGCAGTAGCAAGCCACATCAGGTAGTCAGTATAGCCCATCTGAAGATCCTGGACTTCTGCCCTCATCAATAGTGGTAATTCCTCTCCTTGCTTGAGAAATGTCAGAGGTGGCCCAGAGAGTCTGGAATCTCATGACTACTCAGTGGTAAAAAGACTACTGCCAAAGAGTGTGGTGGAGGTTATTTGGGGAATGGTGAGCCAGGGTGCTATGAGCAGAGGCCCAGAACCCAGCCAGTACCCCACTCCAGCAGTAACAAGAAGCCCTTGCTCTTCTGTGGGTGTCAATAGACACTGATAGGAGGATCTGGACTTTCTTTACTACCTGGAGAATCCAGAATCTTGAATCATAATACTCAATGTGTCCAGATTTCAATAAAAAACCACTCATCATACCAAAAACCAGGAAGATCTCAAGACTGACTAAGAAATGACAATCAACATGCACTAACACCAGAATAACACAGAAGTTCCAATTACCTGATAAGCATCTTAGACCAAACATCATAAAAATGCTTCAACAAGCAATTATGAACATGCCTGGAAAAAGTAGAAAAAAAGAACATCTTGGTAAGATGAATAGAAGATAAAAGACCAAAATAAAAATTGAAGAATTAAAGATAGAATAACCCAAATGATAAATTTCCATGGATTTCAACAGTAGCTGGAGATAACAAGAGAATTTAATAAACTAAAAGAAAGAGCACTAAAACCTACTCAGTTGGAGCAATAGATGGAAAATAGATTGAAAGGGAAAAGGAAGAGAGTCTCAAGGGCCCATGAGACTATAAGAAAAGTCCTATCATTCAAGTTCTGTAAGGAGAGGACAAAGAGAAACTGAAAAAGTATTCAAATAAATAATGGATAAAAAAATCCCAAATCTGGCAAAAGACATAAACTTTTACAATCCAAAAGGTGAGAGAACCACCAATAGTTAAATTTAAATAAATCTATGTCTAAACATGTCATAGTAAAATTTATGAAAACCAGAGATAAGAAAATCTTGAAGAAACAAGAAACAAACATTGGTGTGGGGAGAAATGTCTGCTGATGGGAGATTTCTCATTGAAATCATGGAAGCCAGAAGGGTTCCAGTAATACAGTATTTTTCAACTATGGAAAGAACTGTTGACCCACAATTTTATATCCTATCTATAGTAAAAACATTCTTCAGGAAAGGAGGGGAAACCAAGATATTCTAAGATAAATAAATAAATAAAAAGAAAATAATTTGTCACAAACAAACCTACCCTAGGAGAATGAATTAAGAAGTTTTCTAGTGAGAAAGGATAAAAGATGGAATCTTCGAGTATCAGGAAGGGAGAAAAATCAGGGTGTAACAAAATTAGGGATAAATTAGGGACAGATGGAGAAGTCACAGAGAAAGTAATGGGTTTCTTTTGAGGAAGAAATTTCCTAAAATTAATTTGGATGATGGTTGCATGGATCTGTAGATTTACTAAAAGCCACTGAATTAAATAATTTGAATGGTGAATGGGACATGAGTTATTCTCAGTAAATCTCTTCAAAATTCAGCTGATGAAATTGTGGTTTGCCTATGAAAGGGGCACAAAACAACTTTCTGGACATGCTGGGAAAGTTCTATGTCTTTATCTAGATGATGGTAACACAGATGCATGTTTACATTAATCAAAATGAAAATCAACTCAAACAAACTGGAAATCATGTAGTAATCCCTATCTTTCACCCTGCACAAAACTCAAATGGATCAAGACCTAGGTATTAGACCAGAAACACTCAACCTACTAGAAGAAAATGTAGGCCCAGCACTCCAGCATGTCATCTTAGGAATCAACTTCCTTAATAATACTCCTAAAGCCCAAGAAGTAAAATAAAAATCAATAAATGGGTTGGTATCACACGAAAAAGTTTCTTCACAGCAAAAGAAACAAGAGTGTGAAGAGAGCCTACAGGATGGGAGAAAAATCTTTGTGCCCCCCCCCATATAAGGATATACAAAGAACTAAAAAAGCTTAACACCAAAACCAAAGCCAAAACAAAATCCACAACAAAAACACCCAAATAACACAATCAATAAATGGGCAAAGAAACTAAAAAGACACTTCTCAAAAGAAGAAATATGAATAGTCAACAAATATATGAAAAAGTGTTCAACATCTATAGCAATTAGAGAAATGTAAATCAAATGGGAAAAAAATATCAAAATACACTTTGAAATTCAAAAACAAACAAACAAACAAACAAAAAAACACTACTCTGAGATTTCACATCACTCCAACCAGAATGGCAATTATCAAGAATACAAGTAACAATAAATGTTGATGGGAGGAGGGGAAGAGGCTACACTCATACATTGTTGTCGGGATTACAATTAGTACAACCATTCTGGAAAATGGTACGGAGACTCCTCATAAAACTAGGAATGAAACCACTATTTGATCTAATTAGTCCACTCTTCAATTTTTATCCAAAGGCGTTATAATCATCATACTACAGTGACCAAGTTACATCAATGTTTATAGCAGCACATTTCACTATATCTAAGCTATAGAAACAACCTAGATGCCCCCTAGCATATGAATAGATAAAGAAATTGTGGTATATATACACAATGGAATGTTAATCAGCCATAAAGAAGAATTACTTTATGACATTTGCCAGTAAATGGATGAATCTGGAGATTATCATGCTAAGCAAAATAAGCCATTCCCCCCAAAATCTAGGGTTGCATGTTCTCTCTGATATGTGGATACTAACCCTGGGATGGGGAAAAAAGAAGTTCATTGCATTAGACAAAGGGGAACGAAGTGAAGGAATGGAGAGATGGAAATGGAAAAGATACTAGAATGAATCTCATGTAATTTCCTATGTACAGATATGGACATACTGTAGTGAATCTCATCATTGTGTACAAGCACAAAACCAGGATCCTCGTTAGAATAAGATAGATTCCAAGCTTGTCTAAATATATCAAAATAGATTCTACTGTCACATGTAACAAAAAGAACATATAAAAATAAAAAATCAAACATTTACAATTTGTGGACTTATGACAATTGTGCCTTGAAAAACCTATCAGCATAAGAAAAGTACTAGGTAATCTCGAATTCCTTTCCCAAATTCTTTTAAGAATGTATATTCACACCAATAGTGTTTAAAACTTCAGATGTTCTACACCTTACCAGCTTCAATAAAAAATTTAAGAATGTTATTAATTAACATTCCATTGTGTATATATACCACAAGTTGTGTTCTTTCTATTGTTATGGTGTACTTCCATGGTATCTCTTTATAGAGAATATGTAAATGTGGGGATTTTACCTTTAATACTTCAGATGCTTCTTGTATTGTGTCAAATTAGTCATAATCAAGTGAAAATATGCATCTTCTTAGTTTCCATATTAATTCTGTAATGGTAGAAATAATTTTTACTGTTAAAAGCATGTTCTTTTCAATATTCGTTTCCCATTCATGTAAATAATAATTGACTGTAAAAGTCTGCCTCTCTGTTGCCTTTAGTTTCTGCACAGACAGCTGCTATTTGCTTTTCAAGCTCATGAAGCTCATTCTGTAATATATTTCAACATTAACATTATTAATTCATGGTACTCAGCATGAGAGGAAAATTGTTTTGATCCATAATGCATGTAGGAAAATCATTTAACATAAAAATATACATTTATCAGATATAGAAAAGAACTGATGCATAATAGAAGCAAATATGCAATAATGTAACAATTTATTTCTCAGAAAGAGTCCAGAGTTATATATTTATTTATTACTTTTTAATAGTCATTTAATACTAAATGTTAAAATTTCATCATTTTGTTTTAATATTTTATGTGTAAAAATACTTAAAATCATTTAATAATATATTTATGGGTGTCAAGGAAGACAATAAAATGATAAAACGCTGACTCAAGAATTAAAAGACCTGCTGGGATCATGGTCAGTGGTAGAGCACTTGCCTTCCATGTGGGAGGCACTGGGTTCAATTCTCAGCACTGCATATAAATAAATGAATAAAATAAAGGTCCATCAACACTAAAAATAAATAAATAAATAAAAGACCTAGACCTAGGTTCCAGCAATCCTTACTGCTGTTCACTACTTTGTGTGATCATGCATAACAAATTTAATTACCCATCCCACCTCACTTTCTTAATTTATAAAATGAGTATTAAGCTATCTACAATATCTACTTTACCTCTCTAGGGCATTGGGCATGGCTAACTGGTGCCTCCTTAAAAGGAGTTCTCCTAGCACCACTCTTTCTCATTCTCCTTAGCTATCTCTGAGCATTCCTTCTTAATCTCAGTGATTTCTTCAAACACAGGTCTTCCTCAGAGTTCAGTAATTCATCATTTCCTCTTCTCCCTCTCTACATAACCCTTGGGTTACCTTGCCCATACTTATAATTTTGAACTATGCATCTACCGATGATTCAGAGAATAAAAGTGACTTTTTAATTCCATAGCCAGATGCCATTGGCCATCGCAAACTCATCATGTCCCAAAAGACTAATTTTCCTCCCTTCCTAGCCTATTTCCCTTTGTATCAGTCATCTATTGCCAGAACCACAAAACCTCAGTGACACAACAACAAATAGGTGTTCATAGTAAAAAATACTTACATGACAGGGAAAAGAAGGTATTGGCTAGGTGATTCACATGACTGGGAGAGGTGGGGATTGGCTAGCTTGGCTATGTTGTTCTACTCACAGCTCAAACACCTGAGTTTGTGTGTGTGTGTGTGTGTGTGTGTGTGTGTGTGTATGAGTGTGTATCTGGGGATTAAATTCAGGGCCTTGTATGCTAGGCAAGTGCTCACTGGAGTCACATCCCTGCCCTGGGGCTTATTTTAAAAATTGCATTTAGGCAGAAATTTTAAGTCCCCTTATTCAGGAAGTGTATTCATTAGGTTCCTTCTCTTGGCATTTTTTAAAAAGGAACATGTGAAATTAGCCACAGGGCTGGGGTTGTGGCTCAGCAGTAGAGCGCTCACCTAGCATGTGCAAGGTGCTGAGTTTGATCCTCAGCACCACATAAAAATAAATAAATAAAATAAAGGTATTGTGTCCAACTACAACTAAAAAAAATTTAAAAAAAGAAGAAATTAGCCACAGAGTTTTGGATACAGTTTCCTATGTAAAAGGCAAGAAGTGAGAAGAGGACTGGTATGGGTGAAAAGCCTCAACATTGTTATTCCCACTGTATGATAATGAAACTGAGGTTCTGAGATGTTGAATAACAAAAGTAATTCATCATTTGACCAGTAAAGGTCAAATCCTGGTTTTGAATTTAGGAACTCTATTCGTGCAGTCTGTAATTTTTATTTTTCTCTCCCAGACTAGTATACAGGTGTACTATGTCCTTTAATAATATAGGTACATCTGAAATTTAAGTATTTATATATTTATCAAAGAAAAAAATTTTTATATATTTTTAAATATTTATATATTTATCAAAGAAAAAAATGACTGGGGTTTGGCTGGTTATAAGACATAACCATACCAACATAACCAACATAACATGTTGGCTTGGAACTTGGCTGGTAGGGTGTCATGGTTCTACTTTATGTGTCTCCTTATGATAGCATGTTGGGGACCACATATCAAGTCAAGATGGCACCTGGCAGTTTGCCAGGAAGGGTGGTTTGTAAGGCAATGCCACCAAGCCATTAAGATGGTAGGGATTCTTTATTGGCTGATTGCTGTAACTGGATGATGCTAATTGAGTCAAGCTGTGTGTAACCAGTTAGTTATATATACCTCTGCTGTTTTGCAATAAGGTGGCTCCTGCTACCTTGGGTGCCTGCTACCTTGAGTTCTTGCTCAGTTCCTGCTGAGTTTTCCCTACAATAAAGCAGTTCCTGCTTCAACCTTCAAGTTGCTTGTCACCTCCCAGTTATTCTGCTCAGCCAGACCATGGCGTATGGCGGCCTGTACGGGGAACTCCGGGACGCTCGGGGGTAAGTGACAAGGTAAGCTACCCGTCCCTAGAAATAGATAGGACAGGAGGAAACCTGCTTGCCCCTGAGGAAGCAGATAGGACAAAGGACGAATGGCCATTTCAAGAAAATGGAGAAGATTGATACAGTGTGTTTTTGTTTTGTTTTATCTTAGTGTGTTGTGTTGTCTTTGTTGCGGAAATATGGGATCAGAAGTTCATGAAGGTCGAACCGGAGGAGTGTTAAGTAAATTGCTAAAGGAAGGAGGCACCCCAGTAAAACCAAGAACAGTTAGGGCATACATTGATAAAAGCCCAGGAACTCTAGTCAGAAAGAGGAAGAAAGTTCAGAGGGGGAAGGACTATCAGGGAAGGAGTTACAACAGGAGCAGCTTGGCACAGTGGCTGCTGTGTGCTCAAGCAGGTCACAGGCGCAGCAGAGTTTTTCCAGCTGGTGGTGGCGGCAGCC